AAAAAAAAAAAAAGCCCGTGGCGTGATTATTTGGGCTTTACTCTTGTTGGATCCTGAAGGTCCATTAGGGGGATCTCGGTTTATGGTCTTTCCTTCATGTTTGGATTCACTTGAATTGGGCTCAGTTAATGTCTGCTTGATTGATGATGGTACCGTGCGTGCCGTGTCTATGTTTCATTATCGCAAGTACTTTTATGTTATCTATTTTGTGCGATCGTTCATTGTGATAATAAGTCCAACTTTCATGACTTTTAGGAGTTTTATCGGTACAAGTCCGAAAGATAGGTAAACTGTGATTGTCAAATCAAATCAATTTAATTACTTTTATATTTCATGCTTTTCGTGTTGTGATTCGAGCGATCATGGTATTATTTGACAATTACTTGATAATAATGGATAAGATATTGTATCAGCTGATTTGACAAGCGAATTCAATTAAAGATTTATCAATTAAGTGTTTGATAAATAACACAAATTTATAATTGTTACATTGTACCAATTTTTTTTTTTTTTTTAATGAGTCCACTTATGTGGTGCCAGTGGTGATGTTCTTATTTTGATTTCCACCTTTAATTATGGTCAGATCAGATCAATTTATAATTCCCCTTTCTCCCATGTTGCTTTTTTTTTTTTTGTTTTTTGTCAATCATTAGATAAGGAGCTACCACATTTGTTAGAAGGTAATTATGCATGTACAGCGCTTGGAATCCAAAGAACTAAAGTGATGAAAAGTGATAAGACAATCAAAATAAATTTAACCAATATCAAAATAAATGAAAGAAATTCGGAGAAAACAAGTGCAATTCTACTAACATGAAGCGGGGAAGTCCATATGAAGTTCAAATGGAGTGTGATGGATCTCTTCTCAGATCTGGAGTGAACCGACAGAAATTCGTTCAGATCCGGAATGAACCGATGGGAACGAGCTCAGATCTGTCTTGATGGCTTCCAAACCGCTGCTGAACCGCGAGAACACCTGCAAGAACTCAAAGTCGGAGGGGTTTCCGGCGTAGAGCCTCCGACGCTCAAGTCAGTATGTGAAAGAGATGAAGAGAGCTGCTCTGAGAGAACAGCAACAGTAATGGAGAAGAATGTAGAATGAATGGGAGTTAGGGTTTTGGGGTTACCTCAGCTCCTTTATATAGAAGTAAAAACCTTTACCTGGAATCCCCAAACTGCTCTGGCCGACTTACTGGAAATGTCCAGAATACCCCGGTCGGTTCGCATTCTGCCCATATCCTAGTCAGCATTTAGATTCCTTCTTATCCTTTAATAGCTTCTCTCTGATGTGTTGAAGTGTATAGGAGTCGTCAGGGATCCATGAGCCCCAAGACTACTTCAGTCGACTCGAATTGTCCACTCGAGCCGACTAGGTCATTCCCCAATCGCTGGTAGACCCTAATGCGCTTATTCGTCCTTCCGGACAGAGTCGACTTAGGCTAGTCGACATGGTAGAAGTCGACTAAGAAGAGCATCCGGACCCTTGACAGAATATATTATCACGAGGAGATATGCGGGTGGAGTCGACTTCGGGTAAGTCGACTCGGCAATGTTCGAACCGGGACAACATAGGCCGCTATACGGTAGTATGGCTATATCAGAGTGTCATCCCAAAATCAATTGGTGGAAGGAGGAGTAGTCCATTAGACTTATAAGGTGGTCTATTTTCTATGTATGAACGATGTGGGACAACTTGTAAGTGATATTCTAACACGCCTCCTCACTTGTGAGTCCTTCAGAAGCCCAAGCCCTACTGGGCTGGGTGACGGGTATGTCATCGCATGGTCACCAAAATGATATTCTAACACGCCTCCTCACTTGTGAGTCCTTCAGAAGTCCAAGCCCAACTGTGCTGGGTGACGCGTACGTCATCGCACGGTCACTCACCAAAGTGATATTCTAACACGCCGACTTTGATACCATAAAACTGTGGGATAATGGGTGCGGGCCCACTAACATTAAGCTCACTATAAATGGGGAAAGACCATATGAAGCTCAAGTGGGGTTTCATCCCAAAATAAATTGGTGAAATGAGGAGTAGCCCATTAGACTTATAAGATGATCTATTTTCTATGTATGAACGATGTGGGACAACTCACAAGTGATATTTTAACAATAAATATTTCATATGTTGTAATTTCACTTCAACTGTATTTTCGACTTTTCACTTAGAGAACACCATTTTACTCTGCTCTTTTTACCCTTATACACTGTGCAAACAGTATACTGTGAGATACAATGGCAAAAAATAGCCAACTGCTTAAGATAAAGACAACAAGACTTCTGTACTTCTCAAACTTCGATATCACAGCAAATTTACTATATATTGGCATAATATACAAACACACACACACACACACACACATATTCATGACTCATCACAACATTGAAATTTAAACATGTGTGATATTGAGAAAGACAAATTAATTGGGATAAGAACACTTCACTTTACTTTAATCAGTAACTTTATGACTTTGCTTCAATGGTCTCTAGGCTCCTCAAAAGAAAAGACCACATTCATTAAAAAAGAAAAACAATAGGTAAATAATAAAGTATAGATTAAAGATTTTTTTGATATATGATGCTATGGCATTTCTTTTTGTTCTTGCTTCCTCAAAATGAGTTGTTTGTAGACTCTGCTCGGCTCATTAGACTTGAGTTCAACTCCACTTATTAAATGAACAAGTCGATCTTGAGTTCATTTATGGTTCACTTAGATAACATATAAGTCAAGACTCGAACTCAACTACTTAAGATTCCATTAATAAAGCGAACTCGAACTTGTTTATTGAATCGTTAAGGGATTAATCGAGCGTTGGTATCAAAAGCTCGAATTCAACTAGTTTACGATTCTAGTGAAAGGTTATAAAGTACTAGAAATGAGAATTAGAACCTTGTATGGATTTTAACTAGAATAGCCTTTTTTTTTTCCACTTGCTCCAAGTTATTATATATATTTGTTTGTTTTACTTCCTCCAAGAAGTTCACTAATCTGATTTTTTTCCCCCAAAGTTCATTTCCTAGTCCCACTCTCACTCACTATTCAAAACACACACACACACACACACACACAGTGCCACTCAATAAAATTAAATTTTCTTGAAATATTTCAACAAATTTTCCTACCCCAAAAAAAGAGTTAAAGCTCTCAACTTTATTGACCCCAAAACCACAAAATGGCTCAAACCAACCAGCTGCCGCCGCTAGTGGGTTCGCCGCCGGTGATGGTGGTGGAGGCGGAGTCCGGCGGCCGCTCGTCCACCCCCCACTCTATCGAAACCCTCGTGGTGGTGCTGGCTGTCATAACCATACTCGGGGTCGTCGCCGGAATAATCGCCCGGCTGTGCGGCGGCCGGCACTTGGGGCCCCACGACGACCACGACGTGGAGGGATGGGTTGAGAGGAGGTGCCGGAGTTGCATCGACGGCGGCGTCTCCACGGAGCCGCCGGCGGAGGCGGCCAAGGAGGAGCCGCCCAAGGCGGCGGCGGCGGCGGCGGCTGAAGAGGCGAAGAAGTGAGGCAGGTCGAATTTCCGTTGGAAAGCTAATATTATTATAATTAATGTGTTTATATATATGTTTGTTTGGTTCGATCAGACAATTAGGAAATGAGTATTTGAAGATTTTGTTTGTATTATTTTGTTGACTTATTATTGTTTGTTATAATTGCTAAAGTTATTTTTAATTATGGGTTAATTAATTTGGATTGGTCTTGGTAAAAATTTATGCTAGGCACCCAAAATTTTTTAACCTTCATAGTATCTTGATCTTTGATGGAAAATGGAAATTCAGGTAAAATCTCTATTTAGAGTTGTTACGCTGAAGTGTTCATGAGCTCGACTTTTTAACGTTATTTAGTTAATGAGATGTATTGATCGACTCAACTTGTTGAGGCTCGTTGAGATTCGAGCATAGATCATAGTCATTAATATTGATAAACAAACTGAGCTCGAGCTCATTTTAATACTCATTTAGTTCAGGAGCCAATTTCAACTCGATAAATTCTCGAGCCCGAACTAGAGCA